GAAAAAAGAGCTTAACGAGCAGTTTTAAGTAATTTTTTAGATATAGCCATAAGTCGACCTAGTCTGTCATCATTTGACGCTGCAATCATTATGGAAGTGGGTGCACTTAGAGACTAAGATAGGCTTGTTGAAAAAAAAATTAACTTAATTTCACAATATTTGTTCATGAGAGATTTGAGCACAAACATGAAAATAAACTGCTATTCACTGCTAATGCTTTGTTCATGGGAAGCTGCTAGCGGCAAGACGCTTCTTCTAGAGAATGTCAACACTTTACATTCTAATGATTGGAGCAAAGGAGTGAACTTCTCCAAAAAGTAAATAACCGACGTTTTTTTTTTTGCAGTTCTGACCCTTTTTACGAATCTTCTTCGAATCCCTTCCCTCTCCTCACAGCTAAACATCAATGAACCTGCCTGAAAAGGTTAGACATGCTGGCCACTAATATTATACCCTGTGGAGATACAGCAGGGATATGGTATGGACCTGAGTACAATACTACACTATGACGATACCATACGGAATGGAAGATGTCAATAACAGCTTCGTCAACAGCCTGATCGACATTAAAAACCTTGAATTTTGGGTGGGAGAAAGTCGAATATTACCAAGAACTTCAATTTTGAAAATGATATCAAATAAAATTTAGAAAACTAAGCTTAGCTAAGAGAATTTCCACGTACTGAGAAATTGGTGCAGACACTACACGGAATATTTTCACCCACCTTTCCCTATTCATGGCGATTTCTCTATCTTTTTCCTTGCTATTTTCAATATCTTCTGTTTGTCCAGTAGCAGCGGCCTGTTTTCTAGCCGCTTTCTCTTTTAGAGCTTTCAGCTCTTCTTCCTGAAACAGCAAATTTTATGAAACAAAACGGTTCATGACCAAGGTGGTCCCACCTCTTTTCTTGCCAATTCTCGGGCCTTTTCAAGTTGGCGAATGACACGATGCTCATTTTCTTGTTCCATGCGTTTCTTCAACTTCCTGAAGCAGAAAGCAGGAATAGAAAGAGATATACATATACGATGAATTACAGAAGCAGGCTTACTTCTTCTTTGGTGCCTCCTTCTTCAGCATCTCTAACTCTGTGCTGGTCTTGTTGATAATTCGATGATATAGCACTTCTCCATCATCAATACCGTCCTCAATTTTGAGCAGCTCAAGTTTTAGTCGAGGTCCAATCTCCATTAGCCTAGATATGCAAGTAATGAGGAAAAATAATGATGTTGAGAAAAACTGGAAGACTTTGCTCACCGTACGTGACTTTTTTCTCC